AGATAGATACATAGATAGATACATAGATAGATATACATGTATTTAAGCATATATTCATTCAAACATGTTTAATTGAATAATACCGCGTGAGCGGGAAACTCGGGTTACGACCTGGGCCATCCTTTCATAGGATTTAACGTTGGTAATCGTTTTTCGCACGGTCTAGAAAATCTAGGCTTCGAGCACTTTGCTGAGTAAATAAGTTTAATTGTAGTCTTTTTTTTTCTTTCAGTATTGTCGTTTTTTATGCGATACTGTATCTGGATAAGAATATTAGGTTTCATAGATTCCACGGAATGTTTTTTCTTCAATATATATATATATATATATATATATATATATATATATATATATATATATATATATATATATATATATCGATTAAAATTTCCTACGTATGTTATGCTAGATTTGGAATTTACTATCGGGAGGAAACTTTAGCAGATATAATAATTTTCGTCATAGAAATTAAGTCTGCATTTTGATTATTAGCGATCATTAGATCTGATGTCGCTTAAAGCAAGAAAGTGACAGTAGCCATATAGTGTTTATTTTGGTATCTACGATGTTGTACATAGAAACCTAGATGTTCAAAAGTTTCCTTATATATATATATATATATATATATATATATATATATATATATATATATATATATATATATATATTAACGTTCATTAAATATTTTATTTACGTTTGCTTTATCAAGGGCACTCGTAACATCACATATTGTTTCCGTGATGAAAGATACATGTCCGATTATTGTTGCGTGCACATTTTTCTTTGGTAGGATATAACGATCTCTGCCGAATAAGATTATCCGATATTGCTGTAAAGCTGACATCTGAGATATTTCTCTGCCAACGTGAATTTTTTTCCACAAGTATTTTCAGATGTTGATTGTCAGTTACAGATGGATGTCCTTTACCACCGTGATCTTCAAGTCTCGTGTCCCTACTGTAGAAAATCAGAGACCAGCACCGTACTCTTCGATAACAAGTTGATCTTTCACCATATAGCAGCAGTTTGAGAACCATTATGGCCAAGTTTGAACCTATGCAAAGAAAGAAAAATATACCATTTTAAGTTCAATTTGGGATTAATCAAAGTCATTGTGGCAAGTTCATAATGAAATATCCATGTTAAGAATGGGACCTACCAAATGCAAAATGAAATATCCAAGTTCAGAATGGGACGTAGCAAATTCAAAATGAAATAGTCAAGTTCAGAATGGGACGTAACAAATTTAAGGTTTAATTGGGAGTATGCAAATTCATTATGGCAAAATATGCCGAATTTATCTGCACGTTTCACTAAACAAATATCATGGATTAAGAAAATCAACTGGGCGGTAACTCAAATAATTACTATCAATTCCTTACAAGAGGCTATTCTTGAACGGATAAATTTGTGTCAAAGTTTCTGGTACTTTTATTGGTATGACAATCAGGGGGGAAAGTAGAAGAAAGGAAGAGATAGACGGTATGTTAAAAAAGAGAGAATAAGTGAGAGTTATTCAAAATGATTTGGGGAACAACAGAACAAATCTCTAAAGTCCTAAGAAAAAGCATCAAGGAAATACTGAATGCATATATCAAATTTGAAAAAAGATAGGTATAATGAGAGATTTTAAGTTGCATTCAAAAACATACACCTTTCACGAATTTTCTTGATTTATTGATTGCTCCTAGAAGATAAAACATTTAAATAGTAAAATTTAGTTGAAAACTATTATTTTATCATGAGAATATTTAATTATAATTTTTTATTGCAAAATAATTGCTCAGTCCCTAATTAAATATGCGTAAACCATTTTGAACTTGCTAAGTTCCAAATCAAATTTGCTTATTCCATTTTGAATTTGACTATGCCATTTTGAATTTGTCATGTTCCAATTTAAATTTGACTATCTATTTTGGATTTGCTACTTGCCATTTTGAGTTTGACTCTCCATTTAAAATTTGCATTGTCCCATTTTGAGTTTGACTCTCCATTTAAAATTTGCATTGTCCCATTTTGAATTTGACTCTCCATTTAAAATTTGCATTGTCCCATTTTGAATTTGACTCTCCATTTAAAATTTGCATTGTCCCATTTTGAATTTGACTCTCCATTTAAAATTTGCAATGTCCCATTTTGAATTTGACTAAATGATGCTGATTAGTCTAAAATTAAACATGAAATGGTATATTTAAGTGGTATAAAATGTCTTAAATTGAATTCCGAAAGAGATTGATATCAACAAAGAGGAGACGTTAATCATTAAGATATTTTTGGTCACCTATTGTAATATTATATTAGAACAGAATTAAAAGTTTTATTCTGAAACTGCACATTATTTTCCGAACAATGTAATATTTCTTTGTTCATAACAACCTTCTAGCAATCATTATAAATGTATGAATTTCTACCGTTGAGACCAAGCGTCAAAATAAAGACGATCTGCGACGTGCTATCGGGAGGGACCAACTCACCCAACCGCGTCCACCAACTACACACCTTTCTGACTCCTGGTCACAACTGTTCAAGAGTAGGCTGGGTCTTCCCAACCATCTTCAGCTGCGAGCCGATGCTACCAACATCGACGAGCAACAGTACGAATGTGCCAGGCGTAGCAGTGGGTAGTTTGGCAGTATTTTTGACAATGATGTTCCCTCTGTATAAGGCGTGAGGGGCCTCTCAAGCCAGAAGTTTACAGATTAACAGGCATATCTAATATGGATATACTGTTGAAGATAACGGTTAAACCAAGACATGGACAGGTTAGGCTTGTAGAAACAGTGAACGTATCTTCTTGTGAGTTGGTTCCACAAAGCAGCGGCTCGTGGTAAATGAGGAACTTGAGTGGAACTTGCATCTCACAGAAGTAATACGAAGGCAATGAAGGTGGTTCGCTACAATTTGCATGGAATTGTGGGTCTTTTCCGTGATGGTTTAGACTGGTAGAACTAAAGAGTGTAGTTCATCGGATCACTTTCCAGTGAAATAGCAATAGACCAGACGTCTCGTAGGTGAGAAAGGCGCAGTAGAGTGGAACATAATTCATCACTCACAAAGACGCGGAGATACTTACTTTTGATTCTATCGAGAGTGTTAAACGAAGACCGGGCAGCATCTTTCTATATATGACATGTTGCGCTGCAGATCAGACCAGACACCAGGTTCGTTGACAGGGTGAAGCCATATTGCAATCAAATGCGTATGGCTTAAAAATAAGGATTCGTCCAGATCATTACCAACAAATGAAAACTATGGCAATATCTAGTAATAACCGAGATGTTATTCTTGGTTTGCAAGTTGAGATGAGGCGTAGGTAAGGCGGAGGTAAACAGTCTAACGGGAGTGTTTCTTGTCCGTTCTCCGAGGCCTGCTTTGTCCGTCTGTGTGTGCTTGCAAACATGATGGTCAGTTTTATACATAACACTTTTCTTTGTTTTTCATCTTCGTCTAATAACGTAACATATCTTCATTCGGTGACTTTCTCTCCGTCTGAGCCTCCCGCTCTGTACTTTGAAGTTGACTTCACATAACCATCGACCAAAAGTAAATGTTGCGAAACTATTTTTGCGACAGATTCTGCTGTTTTCACTTTAATAAAATTTCAGCTGGCTCATAGTTCTACACGTGGCTGTAATCCATTTTAAGAAAAATATTATGCCGCCAATTATGACTCGAGTAGATATCATAGATTTCATGGCTTCAGTAATTAATCTTGAGCAAAGGACAATGAACCTCAGTGGAGATCAATTCATTCCACTGGCTTATTTGATGTTGAGGTAATGGATAAAATCAAAGCAAGTATAAGCCAGAAGGTGGTTCTTTTAACTGATTCGAATAAGTAACAAATGATTGACTTGTTCATAACATTTCTAGAATCTGTGGAGACATTTCATAAAAGCTTGGATGATCCAAAAATGTTGATAATGTCTACACTCTATATAGGGTAGCTTGCAAAAAAAAAGTTTACCTTCATGGTTCAGATACAAACCAATTTATTATGCTTTTATTGATTTGATTGGACGATTCGTTTTGTATTTGTATTTGATTGGTCGATACGTTTTGCATTCGTATTTGATTGGTCGATACGTTTTGCATTTGTATTTGATTGGTCGATACGTTTTGCATTTGTATTTGATTGGTCGATACGGTTTGCATTCGTATTTGGTTGGTCGATACGGTTTGCATTCGTATTTGATTAGTCGATACGTTTTGTATTTGTATTTGATTGGTCGATACGTTTTGCATTCGTATTTGATTAGTCGATACGGTTTGTATTTGATTGGTCGATTTTTGCATTCGTATTTGATTGGTCGATACGTTTTGTATTTGATTGGTCGATTTTGCATTCGTATTTGGTTGGTCGATACGGTTTGCATTCGTATTTGATTAGTCGATACGTTTTGTATTTGTATTTGATTGGTCGATACGTTTTGCATTCGTATTTGATTAGTCGATACGTTTTGCATTTGTATTTGATTGGTCGATACGTTTTGCATTCGTATTTGATTGGTCGATACGTTTTGCATTTGGATTTGATTGATCGAAAGGTTTGCATTCGTATTTGATTGGTCGATACGTTTTTGTATTCGTATTTGATTGGTCGATACGTTTTTGTATTCGTATTTGATTGGTCGATACGTTTTGCATTCGTATTTGATTGGTCGATACGTTTTTGTATTCGTATTTGATTGGTCGATACGTTTTGCATTTGTATTTGATTGGTCGATACGTTTTTGTATTCGTATTTGATTGGTCGATACGTTATCAACCCTTTACAGGTTATTTAAAGTTCAAAAATATTTTGGAATTTAAACTTTTTTGAGACAATAAGAGTTTTAGTAATACAAGTCTTACTACTTGACTGTTAGCTAGGGGAGAAGGGGGACTCATACCTTTCCTAAATATATTTGCGCATAAGTAAATATAAAGTAAACTGTGGAATTGGAACACGGCTCTCCAATTAACAATTTCAGAGCCTTTACACCAGCCGCATATCCAAGCTTACTGCACTTGGAATTCCCAAGCGGTTACCCATCTAAGTACTGACCAGACTTAGACGTTGCTTAACTTCGGTGATCGTAACGGAACCGGTTTTTTCAACGTGACGTGACCGTAATGCTTCTATGCTTGTAGAATTAATAACAAGGTGGACCTGTGACAATGAAATTAGCTGGTGACAAAAAAGCGCCACCCCATGACCGTAAAATTGCGGTAAATAGTAACGTTCTGTGAAAAAGCATAAACATATCAATGTCTTGGCACATGCCTTCGGAGGATTTGACACTACGTCGGCCATCTTGAGAAAACATCAATTCTTTCACTGTTGAGAAAAATAAATCAGTCACGGAGATCGCAGATAGTTATATCGAACAGATGCCAATGTTGATAATATTGGAGGTGCTCATATCCAGATTTTATACCCTTCTGTACAGGGAAGAACATAAGATGTTTCCGGTGATCTGTGATAAATAAAATATGTGATGTTTTCAACTTCTATGAAGATCCAACGAGAAAAAACACCTACAGATTTCTCTCAGCAATTACGCGTCTACTTGCAAGTGATAGAGTATAAAACGCGGAATGGAATGGGGATTTTTATGCCACTAAGAAGTACACAAAACTATATATAGATACATACACATGTCCCACGCAGAGAAAATATAAAATACACGCAGCAAGAAATAGTGTGTAAAAAAAAAAGGTAAACCTTACTTATAATATTAGCCGAATGAAAAAAAAAGAGTTAAGATAAAACTATAAAACTGGTAAGGCCATGTGGTCCTTCCTGTAAGCCCTATCTGCCAGATCTACATTGAAACTGACCGCCGTCACTCTGTTCCATGACGTCACTCACCTACCGTCACGTGACCCTTGTGCCTGTCTCAACGGAAAGTAGACAAAATGCCATTTGTATACCTACACAGCTAAAACTGACAATGCTATATACACAAGGGTACACCATCATTATTCTCTTCGTATTCTAATTCTAAGAATGAGGTTTTAATCAAGGGGCTTCTTCCGCAGAGCAGTTACTTATTAGAACATACTCCCGCTACGATGATTCCTCTAATATTAAAATCGTAACATCAAGTTTAGAATAAAACGTTACCTACCTTGTGCATAATGATAATATTCACTTCATTCTGACTCGCGTACATTGATACAACCACTTCATTGATTGAACTTTTACATTGAGTGGCTCTTAGGCCTTGTTGTAACATAGAAAAGATTACTGAATGAGGATAACCAAAACGGAGGTTGAAAATCAAATGGTAATCTTTATAATGTCAACAAAATACAATACTCGCCAGCGGCGCGAAATAGGTAAACGACTGCACGTGGTGGACTAGATAGATAGCATGGTACCCCCATTTACTTAATAGTAAACAACGTATTTATGAGGATTGGGGACATACCCATTAATGTTCATAGGTACGATATATAACACATACAGGCCTTGTATTCAATGAACTTTGGTAAAAAAGTATATGATCATAAAAGTGAAAAATATCAAAACACGTGAAAGACATTGTGGTTGAAATGCGAATCTAATACTAAAGATGCCAGGGAAAGAAGTATTTGGCTACTAATGATTCGTAAAGTCGCTCTTGCCACTTGCTTAATTCACTTCATGACAGAGCAATTAGAACTAATTGTAAATAAAAAGTAGAAATTGCAACATTTCAATAACCATTTAATTTTCACTATTCATTTGGAGCACTGGACACTTGATCGTAGCCAACTTCATCTTACCTTTCTTTATTTCATCAAATTGCTTTTTTCTTCCTTTCTGTTATTCACTCACTCAGTAATAACGTAATTCGTCTCTCACTAACACACTCAATTTCTCACCCACGCTATTTCTCAACATGAACTCTAATCTATATAATCGATTTCCCCCGCCTCTTCATTTATACCTACCTACGTGTTTACGAAGTATAAAGCAGATGTTTGGGGAATTTGCATCATCATCATCATCGTCATCGTCGTCCTCATCATTATCATCAGTCCCATGACAGGCTATAGTCAAATGGTGGTTGCACTGTTGAGGTCCTGACCAGTCCTGTCCACACATCTGGGTTGAAACCCCCAAGAGCTATTCAGTCAAGTATGGCCTGTCTTGGGAAAGTAGCCCTGGGGAATTTGCACGGATTAATCAAATAATTCCTATATAACCAGGCGTTTTCACTCGTCTCGATGGATATTTCTCTCAAAATCACTCCATCACGTAATGGCTCACGGCTGCATCGCTTTCAAAAACCAGTTCCAGCACGATTACTGAAGTTAAGCAACGTCGAGCCTAGCCAATACCTAGATGTTGGACCGCTTGGGAATAACCGGTTGCGGTTGGTGTAATTGATAATGGTTCGGATTGTTAATCGGAGGCCTGAGTTCTAATTCCATTTGGGTTAGCTACATCCAGTTACGCGCAAATACCATTGGAAAAATTATGACTCCATATCTTCTTCCCCTAGCTATGGGTTAATTATTAAGACTTGTATCACTAAAATCATTATTATCCCAACAAAATAGAACTGCCTACAAATATTTAGATTTCAGTATTAAATAACATATAGAGGGTTTATATACCGTTAAATACTATACCAACAAACCAACTAAGTTCATCAGGCTTTGTTAAAAAGATGTAGGTTAGCGCTCATTTCTCTCAGATGCCTTTTCGAAAGGCATGAATCCATTACTTCTGTTAGCTATGGATGAAATAGTAAATTAGATTCACTATTGAATATTCTTATCGTCTTTGAGAACTAGTATAGGAAAAGGCTAATGCTGAATTTCTCTTCGCCGACAATAAATACGAGATATCTCGTTAAGAAAAGTTCATTCCTCCCACAGAACTTTAGGGAAAGCTACGTTCTTCAATGAACCGAGAAAATAATTTAAATTACCATTGCGTATTTCGTGTCGAGATTGGCAAAATTCAAACTCAGGAAATTTCAGGATATAATGCTGTTAAACGAGGCCAGCTCTGATATAAAACTGATGCCAGGCGCTGTTTTCGTTTGTTCTCGTTTTCCCCAAGCAGTACAAAAAGGCCGCTAATGTGTAAGGTTTTAATATGCATGAAAGAATCCGATAGGATAATCAAGGAAAAGTATTAAGGAAGACTGAAGTTAATGATTGACATTGCATATAGGTTCGATTTTCTTTGTTTTACAACATATCAACATCAATAAGATATGTAATTCCGCTAAGATTTTTATTGCTGGTAATATATTTAAAAAATGTATTGCTGGTAATAATGCGTTGCTGGTAATAATGTTTTTCTTCAAAATTCACTGCTGGTAATATTTTTTTTACAAAAATGTATTGCTGGTATTAAAACCCATTTTTACACTTTCATATAGTTTTGACCCTAGTTTGGTGTTAACTATTTGCCCAAAACTGCGACCCTAAGATCAGAGTGGAACTAGGATCACCAGTAATTAAGAGGTGGCTCCACGCTCCTCAAAACCTCCTGATCAGAGGCATTGCTGCTGGATGTAGTTTATCGTCTTACTCAAGACGCTGACATTTTACATAATTTTTTGAAGATCGCAGTTGACAGACATGCAAGAAGCCATATGAGACCCCAACAAGCGAGAAGTACGTAAGAAGAAACTATCAGCATAGAACTTACGGTTACATATACCAAGTTCAATTGTAAAATGATGACACCGGCATGTCAAACTAGTTCAGAGGTCAACATCTTGAATTCGAGGTACCAAAGATTAAAGATCATGAAAACAATTACTATGAAAATATGTTTCAGAAAAAGAACGAGGAAACTACGTCACGGCGATGGGAATATAACTGAAGCTGATATGCCAGGTTAAGACCTATAACGTTTCAGATTCTTTGGATTTTATCAAGAATCTCTATATATCTTGCAGAAGCACCAGACTAGTAATGTAGCAGCAATATTCAAAACAATGATGAATGCTAGACTAGTAAATATTCTTTTCAAACTCGAATAAGGTCTGAAAATTCAGGGATATTTAGATTCGTACTTTTTTCACTAAAAAGAAACCCAATTCAATCTCTATTCGACGATTTCATTTAACAACGCCCTATACTGTCTGCATGTTTAAACGTATTTTGTTCCAGACACCAAGCAAGATATTTGTCTGGCGATTTCTAATTGGCAAATTAGATTACAGCCCGTATTAAATTTGTAAGGGAAATGTCTACAACTCGAGTTAGTTCTTCTTAAGCTTCGGAGTTTTCGAGAGATTTCAGGTATTATGGACATTGTAAGAAATTCTATGTCCGCTTAAAGATAGGTAGACTCTATTTAATGATTGAGAATTTCTAGATTTGAACATTTCGTTTGCATAATTGTGGGTGTACAATAAAGGAATAACAAACGAACAAGAATGCCAAATTTCAGAGTAAATAATGTATTTTTCGTTCCAATTTTCTTCAGTGTTTGTTTTGTATTGGGTAGCAAGTAGATGGCATAAAAATGAAGGCAGGAATTTGTAGGTTCTCTCCCTCACATTGCTCTATTACTCATCTTGCTGACGACTAGTTGGCAACATTTCCAATCTGAAATCAATAAAGATTTGATCATACTGACCCCACTCATTTTGACATTAATCAAGTTGAGCAAACATCCGGCATGGTGAAGAGATGACTTCTGATTTTCTGTGAGAAATCGAGACAGTACGAGTTTGGATAATGTCATAAGGACAACCGATGCGGTCAACCATGAAGAGACGACCGTAGCCGGCCCCAAACACAAGCGCGAACCAGAGTAGTTAAGGATCAGGGCAAAATTATCTCGATAGCCTGATGTTAATTTTCTTCCATTTTGAAGCCATCTCGTGTCGTGTGATAGAATTCTGTGAATCCTCTGAAGAATGCTTTTGTCAGAATTTCATGTTGCGCAGTGTTGTCTGTTAATTTATTTAATACAATTAGTTTCCAAAATGTTGGTTATTTGTTCGTAATATATTTTAAATCTATGAAAATTTAATTTTTTTTTTATTGTAGTATGCGATAAACATTATATCTCCGCAAAATGAACTTTATATTGAGGGTTAAACGGAGCTTCAGAGAAACTCGGAGCAGGTTGAACTAAGAGAGATTGTGTAATAACAACGAACACTCGTTGT